CTTTTGCTTTGTTTTCTTGAAAATCGATTCAGCACTACAATATCTTGCACGGCCGTTGGTCGGAGTTATGTTTTAAACATTAACATAATAACACATGGTTATAATATGCAAAATGTACGAGGTACATCTATACAAATAAATAAAATTGAAGTGTCTGTTTGTAATGTCTAAATAATTGCTTTTTACTAAATGCATATAGAAACTATTTAAGGTAAATATAATTTAAAAAAAAAACAATTTTAAAATTGTTATGAAGCTATACTCCATGCACCGTCTGTCTGTTTGTTCCGGCTAACCTCCGTAATGGCCGGACCGATTTCGACGGGACTTTCACTGGCAGATAGCTGATGTTATAAAGAGTAAGTTAAGCTACTTTTATTTAAAAAAATAATTAGCGTTCATCGCAAAAAAAAATATGAAATCTAAATCATAAATTCAACGCGGACGAAGTCGCGGGGAACAACTAGTGTCAACCTAAAAGTTAAGAAATAAAAAACTGGACTATAATTTTTTTAATATAGATTAAGGGTGACTCGCAAACACATAGTTGTCCATACACACCTACATCTATTCCCGATTAAAAATTAACATCAGATCAGATACGTTTTTTTTAATACTGTAAAAAAAAACGTTACCCCCACACTAGGATTTTCTACTGTGTCGTGGAAGCAGTTTACAAACATAAATTGCACAAGGACAAACATCCAAACCCGGAACAATTATTTGTAGGCCATACAAATACTTGTTCCGTGCGGGATTCGAACCCGCGGCCCCCAGCGCAACAACTGATTGCTGAGTTGTCACTCCGAGGACTAAGATAGAATGACACGTTGCCAGTAAAATGGTCTTCGGTTCCCTACACTCACCATACGAAACACAGCAGCCTTAAGGTGCTGTTTCACGCTAGTTATCTGTAAGAGTGTTATGTTTCCCCGGTCGAGTCGACCCATTCGTGCCACAACCATAATATAGCTGCAGCATGACTCTACCACGTATAAAATAAGTAACCTAAAAGTTAAGAGATAAAAACTCGACAGTGAGAACCTTCATTCAAATATTAGTGTGTTTTTTTTTACCAAATTATATTTAGGGAATTATTCATAACACGCGAAATAAAAAGAGAATTTAAATTATGCAAAATAAATTTTAAAAAGTTACAGCCTATATACGGGGCGTGCTGGGCACAGGCCTCCTCTCATTTCTGAGAGGGTTTTAGGGCAAGGAAATGTACGCCGCGTTGCCCCAATGCGTGTTGGCGAACTTCACGTCTTCGAATTATTTTTTTTCTTATTTCTCAGACATACATAGGTTTCTGTCTGATGATGTCAGGGCCGTGATGGCAAGTTCACTACTGAACATAGACCTCTGCATACATATAACGAACATATGCCACAAAGTGTAGATAAGCACCCACATTAATGTAAGGGAGTATCGTTTTTTCTTTTTTTTTATAGATTAGGCTGACAAACGAGCACACAGTCCACCTGATGGTAAGTGGATGCTGTGGTCCATAGACATCTACATTTATGCTCAATTAACAGTCAAAATGCAGATGCGTTGTCACCCCTGAGGTCTGACATGGAATGCCTCGTTTCCAGCAAAAAAGTTCTCCGGTTCTCTACACTCACCATACGAAACACAGCAGCATTAAGCTGTTTTACGCTAGTATTCTGTGAGAGCGTGGTCCTACTCCTGACGAGCCGACCCATTCGTGGTGCTCTTTCTATAAGCTCTATCACAAGGTATTATATATATATATATATATATAGACTGTCTATTCTAATTAATAATAATAATGTCCTCGAGACCGAATTTCGGTCACGGCGGCCAGTCTCAACGGAGACTAGCCATCGGCGCAGGACAGGATTATAGTGCCCGAGTGTATGCGCAAGCACAGGTGCACTCTCTATTCCCTCACTCTCATAGCCCCATGGGACGGTAAACCTACACGACCGGAGAGAGATTAGGCGCAGGACCAACGGCTTTACTTGCTCTCCGAGGCACGGGGGTGAGACACCGCCAACTTCCTGACTCCGGGCAGCTACTGAGAATTACTTGCCGGAAAAACTCAATAACTGTGTTTTTATGATCCGACCCGGGATTCGAACCCGGAACCTCGTCATCAGCAGTCGCGTTTACAACCACTAGACCAAAGAAGCAGTCTTATCTATTCTATAGATAGATAGAGAGATAGGGAGTTCTTTAAGTTCTATTAAAAGTTATAAATCTATTCTAACGAAAGAGGTAGCAAGTAAATATTTCATCAAATTTCCTTCAATGACCTTCACAACTGCTGAAAACGCAAAGTAAGGTAACGTAGCAATCTAGCGTGTAGTTAATAGCTACGGTAGGCGTTATTGGAGCCTTGAGTGTCGACAGTTCAACGACCCGGCGATTGTGGATAATTGACGCGCACAACGACACAGCCTCAATTGCAAATATTAGTATGTTACGAGAGAATTTGTCATGCGCGCGGCGGTGGTAGCTTGAGGAAAGTGGAGAAGGCAAATTACACTAAATTCCACAAGTGGTACAGCCGTAGTACCGTTGCAGAATGAGTGTGACGGCTCGAACGTGAAAGAGAAAAATACATGTGTGCAGTTCACACGCGGTAAAAGTGAAACCTTCAGAAAAGGAGAACGAAATAATAGAAAACGGTGTATAACAGTATTCTATCTCATTCTCACGCTGGCTTAAATCTTGTAATGTATATCTTTGTCTCTTTTTAGTGTCGAAAACCGCGCAGAGTATACCTACGTAAAATAGCAGCGTAATTCTGCTGTGAATCGTATGATAAATGACGAAATCCGCAAACTGTTTTAATGTCAACATGTTGTGTTCTATCATAGTCTGTATGAATCAACGCATCTGCTTTTTGATTCTTAATTAACAGGAGTGCATCAGGCGTGATTTAAATGGACCCAGCTTATACGTGTTAGAGCCACGCTACAGTTTTATGGTTGTAGCACGAATGGGTCGGCTCAACCGGGGTGGGACCACGCTCTCACAGAATACCAGCGTAAAATAGCATCTTAATGCTGCTGTTTCGTATGGTGAGTGTAGAGAACCGGAGACCCTTTTTACTGAAAACGAGGCATTCCTTCTAATGCCTCAGGGGTGACAACGCATCTGCATTTAGATTCTTAATCGAAAATAGATGTAGATGTCTATGGACAGTGGCATTAACTTATCATTAGATCGACTGTGTGCTCTATTGTCACCTTTTTTCTATTCAAATAGCCGATCTATATTTAATATCAAATCTTAATTAGATTTAAAACTTTAAACGGAGTAAGTCTCCTTATATTCTGAAGCCTTTTGTACTTCACATGCGTCTATATGTGCCAGTATGTGCAGTTTACCGAGCACGGAATAAAGAAGCATTTAATATTGCAAATAACGACCACCGGGGAATCGCACTTCGGTTTCTCGTTTGTAATGGCATCATTGTAGATCGCCCGGATTCGATTTTTTATAGAATGACAGTAACAAACTAGAAAACTGTCCACCTGATTGTAAGTAGAAGCTGTTGCCCATAGAAATGTACATTTCTCCTCGACTAAGAATCAAAATGCAGATACTTTGTCACACGTGAGAGCTAAGATGGAATGCCTCTTTTCTAGTAAAAAGGGTATCCGGTTCTCTACACTTATCATACGAAACACAGAAGCATTAAGCTGTTATTTTACGCTGGTATTACACAAACCTAAAACAACGTTTCTAGGTTTAAATTTAGACATAACTCTGATAATGATTAGAATGCAATCCAGCTAGGGTTTTTTTTTAAAACGTTACCCCTACACTAGGATTTTCTCCTGTATCGTGGAGGCAGTTTACAAACACAAATTTCACAAGGACAAACATCCAGACCCGGAACAATTATTTGTAGGTTATACAAATACTTGTTCTGTGCGGGATTTGAACCCGCGCCCCCCAGCGCAAGCAACTCATTGCTAAGCCACTGCGCCACGGAGCCGTCCATGTAGGGTTGCATATCTGTCACACAGGAATGTGACACACATACGTAAAACTTTTATTACTGGAATTTAAATCCTTTTTAATAAGCTGATCCCTACGTTAAGTATAGTGACCGAGCGAAGCACGGATCTATTTGTATGGAAAAACTGTTTGTTTTAAACAGAGCATATATTATATTTATTTATTTATAAACAAATGGAAAAAGCAGCCATTAATTAACAACCGTGTATACGTGGTACAATACGTGGTAGAGCCACGTTGCAGCTACATTATGGTTGTGGCACGAATGGATCGACTCGATCGGGGAAGGACAACGCTCTCACAGAATACCAGCGTAAAATAGCAGCTTAACGCTGCCGTGTTTCGTATGGTGAGGGTAGAGAACCGGAGACCCTTTTTACTGGAAACGAGGTGTTCCATCTTAGTCCTCACGGGCGATAACGCATCTGCATTTTGATTCGCAAACGAGGATAGATGTAGATGTCTATGGGCCACAGCAACCACTTACCATCAGGTGGACTGTGAGCTCGTTTGTCACTCGTTTACTATTAAAAACCCATTCGTGTTGCAACCATAATATTGCTGCAGCATACCGTAAGAACTGTACCACGTAAGAATCTATTGGACTTATCATGATGACGCTATACTATCAGGTTTATACGTGGTAGAGCCATGTTGCAGCTATATTATTAGTGTAGTTGTAGCACGAATGGGTCGCTGGACCGGGGAAGGACCACGCTCTCATAGAACACCAGCCTAAAATAGCAGCTAAACACTGCTGTGTTTCGTATGGTGAATGTAGACAACCGGAGACTCTATTTACTGGAAAAGAGGCATTCCATCGTAGTCCTCACGGGTGACAACACATCTGCACTTTGATTCGCAAACGAGGATAAATGTAGATGTCTATGGGACACAGCAACCACTTACCATCAGGTGGACTGTGTGCTCATTTGCCACCCTATCTATAAAAAAAGGTACTCAATTATTCAATACAGGTCTAATCATTTTTGATAACTCACCTTCGCCGTCAGTGGCGAGGGATCCGGTAGGAAGCCGCTCGTGGTCTGTCCTCCTAGCGTCCTCTGTGCTCTCGCCATGTTCTGTAAAGAAACAAATAGAGATTTCTTAGTTTACGTTAAGCTATCCATCATCCTAACACGAATAGTTAGTACACGCAAGATATCTATAGGGTGAGTGACTTTTATTACCGGAAATCTTTTTCACCGATAAAGAGGCATTTCATCTTAATCCCCAAGGGTGACAACACACCCATGTTTTGTTTCTTAGTCAAGGACAGATGTAGGTGTGTCTGGGCCACAGCGTCCACTTACCAATAGGTGAACTGCGTGCTCGTTCTTCGCCCTCGTTTCGGTTTGAAATGGTGTATTGATACATAAAAGTGTGAACTCTAAGTGGAAACTACGAAAGAAGTGCTCCGATGTTGATATAAGCCTCAAGTTATTTTGTCCGCTTAAAAACTTGAGATACTGTCGTCACCCACTATCCGTTGGGTTAGCAGTCGTCAAAATCTCCCAAGAACGTCACAATATGACGCATCGGCATATTTTCATGACGCATAGTGATGAAGTTTTTGAAACAAAATATTATAAAGCACAATTTATTTTGTAATTGACATTGGCAAAAATACAATCTTACGAGTCCATAACTAAAGAAAAAAAACTAAAATGTAGAAATGATACTTTTAATAAAAAATTCACGTACACTCTATACACGCTTACCATTACTGTTGTAGCCTATTAAAGTCTACTCCTGAACATAGGCCTCCCCCATAGATTGCCCCCATATCCCTATATTCCCATAGGGGGAATATCTGCCATAGATGCCCACGCTTAGCAAGCGGGTTGGCAACCGCAGTTTTATTTTTATTTTTAGTCGTTATTAGGAAGACGCTGTTGCCAATCTCCTGATTTGTTTCCGTCTGTCGCCTCTTACGACACCCACGGGATGATATGGGGTAGTGGATATTCTTACACCGCCACTACACGACTTACATACACTAATAAACCACACACGCTTAACGAATGATAAATAAAGAAACCTTTAATTCGCTCTCCCAACTCAATTCAATAACTCTTAAGTTATTACGAGCATAAAAGAAAAAAAAACACTACGCAACGACCTCCACTAAAATATTCTAACTTAATTCAAAATTAGCAAAACAATTTAAAACCAACCGAAATGGTATACGCAGTACAACTTAATATTAAGGTAAACAAACACATAGGCAATAGAAATATCTGCGGCGATGACATGGTAATAAGACTAGTTCATCAGGTTCTTGTATGACATCACGTCTGGACACCTGCGGACGAGCGGACATGACGCACGGGCGTGGCGGGTTATTTATTAGGAGGCTGGAGCAGTGTTCTATTGGAGGGGGGATAAATTAATTTATCTATATATAAAAAGTTTTTTTGTGTGTCTCGTATACGTACCTATACCATCCGACTACGATGAAAGTTTGATTAGTTGTTGTTTTTTTTTTTTTAATATAAAATTTATATGACAATCGAATTTACAGTCCACCTTAGACATGTGTCATTAATACATTTCTAGTGACTTAATCATTCAAATGGATCATTTCTAGTTTCAGTACTCTGAGCTCTGTGAGACCCGCTCGATAATCTCGGTCGTCAGACATTACTATACAGCCTTTGGTCGTAGGTTCCGTCAATCGTTTGATCAGGAACGTTTAAAAAATGTAATTGCAATCATTAATACTTTAACGCGACCCGGGTCAAGTGAACGAAGCATTCGCGATTGACACATGTCCTAGTCCATCTGATGGTAAGTGGCCACTGCAGCCCATGGACATTTGCAAACAATTTCAAACAAAAAAGGTTACAGATGTGTTGTCACCTCTCCCCTATTTAGATTAAGATGGAATGACTTACAGCCTGTTATTATACTGTCTCTCTCTACCCTTATACTATTATGCTGTCTGTCTCTACTATTATACTGTCTCTCTCTACCCTTCAGACCCTGACAGGAACAGGAACAAAGCAGTGCACGCTGCTTGGCGGTAGAAATAGATAAGAGAGTGATAATTACCGGGATGACAGAAAAGGAGATCAACCACCTAGCCACCTAGACATTGAATATAATATTATTAAATGAAACTAAACGAAACTCGGATAATTATTTTTTATAAAAAAAATGTAATAACGATCACGGCTTTATAAGCAGAGACACGTTAAAACTGTGTCCACTTCATTTGACACGATACTGACACACCTCTCTCGCTTCCTTCACATCCATATATCGTATTAAAATTCATACATGTTTGTTAATTCAACCCATTTTAGATATATGGCTAATCTCTTAAAACATAAGTATAGTTAAAATATAACCTTTTTTTTATAGGATAGGGTGACAAAATAGCACACAGTCCACCTGATGGTAAGTGGAAACTGTGATCCATAGACTCTACATATATCCTCAATTAAGAATCAAAATGCAGATGCGATGTCACCCGTGAGTAGTACTCAAAAGTACTACTAGGTAAACTAAGTAAGAATCAAAATGCAGATATTTTATTAACCCTGAAGACTAAGATGGAATGCCTCTTTTCAAGTAAAAAGAGTCTCCGGTTCTTTACACTCACCATACGAAACACAGCAGCAGTAATTAATTACCTCCTTGTTTGAAGACGAACGTGTGAACTATTTTTAATAGTCGATAATGTGTTAATTTTACAGTATATTGCAGTTATCATTCACGAAGTTATGACACCATAATTAAGCGTAGATAGAATTTTCAAATTCTTAATTACGTTCTTTAATTAAAAATGAAAGTTAAATACGATAAAGTGTTGCCCACGCAAACATTCGTAAGCATTATATTAATTAACGCAAGAAAATTTTAAATTATTCTGAAATTAAAATATTAGCGATATTAATCAAAACGTAAATTAAATTGAGATGGCGCTATTGTTAATTAAAATAAATAATAATGGCGCCACCTCTCTAATTACGAATCTAAATGACTAATTAGTAATTAATTTTAAAACAAAATTCATACAGAGATTTTATACATTACACTGCCTAGCTTTAATATGAATTTTAATTTAATTAGAGATGTTGAAAAGAATAATGTTTAGTGTTGCAAGCATTAAAATAATTCAAAACATAACAGCGGCGTTGGCAATGTATTTAATTGCGCAAAATATCTCGCAGTCGCATTTAATCATTTATAATTTCAAAGTAAGCGCCAGGGCGGAAATGTAAGCCCGTATATATCAACATAGATGTATGAGGCACCTCGCATACATTGCCTGATTTGCATACTGGAGATGAAATCAAGGTTACCGGCTGTCTATACATACATCCACGTAACTACTGTCCAAGTATGTGTCCGTATAGCGCCTCAACAAAATCGTTTCGCCGTAAGAGGATCCATTAACCTAACACGTCCTGAGAGTGTGAAAAATCGACGTTTCGTGTATTATGTAATATTTATAAGTATCTGTGTTTGAAATCCTGGTTTCGAAGCCTATTATGAAACATATCATTTTCGTAATCAAGCACTTCGTCATCAAACACTATTATATATGTATATGTACATATATAATAAGTATGGTATAACGACGCGCCATAAATCGAACTTATCTTTTATGTCAGAAGGAGTTTGGCGCCAAAAATCAAAACGTCTTAATTAAAATTCTGACATCAACTATGGCGCCATTCCCTGCCAACAGCTGTTGTCAGGGAATGGCTAATTATTTATTGTGTACATTGTCCATTGTCAAAACCGAAATATTTTAAAAACATTAATAAAGAATAATCAGTTTATATAAATACTTATTGTCCCTTTTGATTTTCTCAGAAAGATATCTTTTTTAGCGCAGTGACTAGGGCGTTTGGCTACAATGATGGCGCCTGTGCGGAATTACTTGTACGGCCAAGTATAATTGTTCCGGGTCTGTGTTTGTCTAGATGCAATTCATGTCCGTAAGTCGCCTTCACCATATAAGAGAATTTCCTAGTGTAAGAATAAAGTAAATAAAAATAAAGAAATAGCAACAAAATGAATTAGAGCTCATTCCAAAACGAGTCGACTGCATCTCATCCAAACCATGTTGATTTCGACTATCAATGTCGCAATGTACGCACACAAGCGCAGGATTCACCTACACTAGCACACAGAGAAAATAAGGTAATACCCGCGTCGGCAGTATTAAAAATCGTTTTATATTCTCTGTTACGTCCTGTGAAAGAAGCGACTATATGCAATTTCAGAAAAATCCTATGACTTCCGATAGATGGTGGTAAAATCGTCTCGTTAACCGGTAAACGGTTACAGTCTATCAAAAGCCAACTGCTGAACATAGACCTCCGCCAAAGATTGCTACACAGGGGCAGATATATGGGAATATCTTCTTCATTACAACTTTAATGCCCAAATACCCATACGCTGCCCAATTTTAAGATGCTGTTCTGTATCGTGCTGTCTCTATCACTTGAAGTCAAAGTGACTGTGACACCACCAGACTAAACGACATCCTAAAATTTAGTAGCGGTTAAGTATTTGGCCATCAATCTTTCTTCATTACACAATTACACACACAACCACACATCTTCTGGTTGGTAAGTGGATGCTTCAGCGAATTGACGTTCACATTTATCCTCAATTAAAAATCAAAATGCAGATCAGTTGCCACACCTGAGGACTAAGATAGAATGCCTCATTTCCCGTAAAAAGATTATCTACACTCACCATACGAAACACAGCAGCATTAAGCTGCTATTGTACGCCGGTGTTCTGTGAGAGCGTGGTCCTACCCCGGTCGAGCCGACCCATTCGTGCTGTAACCGTAATAGAACTACAGCGGGGCTCTACCGTGTAAAATCATGGAAGTAAATTTCTAACAATAATAAAATTGCCAATGTACAGATTTTAGTTTAGAATAACCCACTTTCCGTTATTAATAAACAGCGCCGCACGTATGAAATCGTCATTGTTATGGAAACATCGTCCCCACGTGTATAGAAGTTTATGTTTTCAGCTGTGTTTCGAAAACAACCGCCACCGGCACCGGGCTGTTTAAAATATGTTGCTCAATCCCAAGGGAATGTTGGTT